CTGGGGCCTTCCCTGATCCATGCATGCACGGCCGGTCCAGCCGGGAAACCAGGGTGACCCGGGCCGCACAGCTGGTAGCCTAGAAAACAATTCAATAAACTATTAAACTTCCATTCACAGGGCCCTCATTGCTCGATTGGTACACGCCTGAGCTGTTGAAATGCAGACCTGAGTTCATACTCCACTGGAAGGAGGGGGCCAAAAAACAAAAAATTCAAATTAGTAAATTACTACTACCAACAGAAGAAACGCAGACCTGAGTTCAAACTCCACTGGAAGGAGGGCAAAAAACAGAAAAAAAAAGAAAAAAGAAAAAGAAAAAAGTAAAAAAAAAACAGAAAAAAACAAAAATTTCAAATTACTAAATCACTACCGAATACTTAGTACCATACTTGCAACCGCACGAGCTAGCAACAGTTGAAATGCAGACCTGAGTTCAAACTCCACTCGGAGAAGGAGGGCAAAAAACAGAAAAAAACAATAAAATAAAATAAATAAATATATTAAAAAAAACAGAAAAAAAAACAAACAAACAGAAATTAGAAAATTACTACCGAATACTTGGTACACTAGCAACAGTTGAAATGAAGACCCGAGTTCAAACTCCACTGGAAAAAGGGAGGGCGAAAAACAGAAAATTACTAAATTAGTAAAAATGATTAAAAAATCACTACCAAATACTTAGTACGCTAGCACCAGTTCCGCATCATCATCATCATCATCATCATCATCATCTGCAGCAGCAGCAGCAGCAGCAGCAGCAGTTTGGCTTTAGGTAATGAATACCCAAAGGCAAAACAAAAAAGAAAAGAAGCGGAGTTCGAACTCGGGTCTACATTTCAACCGTTCAGCAGCAATACCTACCTTAGTCGGCAGTACTCGGTACTATGCCCACCGCTTCATTTTATTAATTTATTATCTTTTGTTATCTCCAATATCGTTATCTTCTAGTACCACGACAAATTTGTATCACTTTTTGAAGTTTTTTTTAATTATCCTCATCACTGTAATCACCCCACCACCATCACGACCATCATCATCATCATCATCATCATCATCATCATCGTCATCGTCGTCATCGTCGTCGTTGTAGTCATCGTCGTCATTGTCGTCATCATCACCACCACCATTGCCAACCCTGCATTGGACTAATCAAGGGTGGAGAAATGGAGGGACACCCGGAAGCCCATCTTTGCAGGGGGAGGATTTTAACAGGTTTCTGCGTGGAATGACAGAGCTGTCAGACGCTGCTACATGGCAAGAGACGACACCTACTTCAACTATGTTGGATGGTGTAAACATTTGCACGCGCGCACACACACACACACACACACACACACACACACACACACACACACACACAAAC